CTGGAGGAGCCGTGGAGTACCGCAAGCCCCGCGGCTGCCCACAGAACGCGTGGACCGCCGAGCACAGTAAGCATTTTGTGGCGCAGGCCGCAGACCTCTTTGGCCATCGCTTGCGGTGCCCGCAGGAACGCTGTCCCCGTGGGGCTGAAATGGACCATGGGGTTTTAGGCCTCCTGGGGATCGCGTTCAGGGGCACAGTGGCTCAACTTGGACCTTTAGGGACTTCAGGGTCTTCTAGTTGGCCTTTTCCAGTCCTCCTTGGCCAGGCAGGCACATGAGTTGGCTATGAGTATGCTTCGGTCAATGTTTACACCCCTAATGCATTCCTATTTGAAGTTGTACAAGTGATTGAATGGTCTAAACCGTCTTTCTCATCATGAGTGTTTTAGAATACAGTGCCTTATTCACATATCATAGAAAAACCTCCCATGTCCCTGTTGTACGATCTTCACACAATGCATGGATATATCACAACCGAGCAACTCTTCTTTAGGGCCCTCATGTCCATTCGCTTAGTCCTACTAGACTTTGGACCCATGCACCCGCACTTATGTGCTGTTCAGAGTTGGCAAGACCATGCATGGAAAGCCCTTGCTGACTTAATCCCTCCATTGTTTTGCCTTGCAATACGTCCAGTTTGTGAGCCCTGGTGTGTCTCAACTCTTTTCATGGCCAGAAGTTGCTTTTGTGTGAGAATCCAATCCCATCCATTGTGCAGAAGGTTTTACTGTCCATGCACTGTGTACCTGTGAATGGGGCTTAAGTTGAGAGTTTGTGTTGAACAGGACGAGGAGACTGAACTTCGCTCAGGGCTCTCTTTCTTTAGTGACATTGAGGCAGTGTTACCCCTGGGGCTCATTATTGATGGGCTGAAACATTAGCGATGTTAGGAATTCCATAAGACTCTAACCTCAAGTCCTATGGGCAGCATAACCCAGAGCAGGTGTCACAAAGAATGGTGTAGGGCCCCATATAACACACTACACATGGTACTTCTACTTGCCCTGCTGTGTCCACGAAATGGGCCCTTTCGTTTTTTTTCCATTGCAGACTGTAGGCAGCCCTAGGGCTCCACATGAGAAGCAGCTGTAAGAGGTAGAGGATTTGTGTGTCCTTTGGGTCCCCCTTTTTGCTGCTGTTTGTCTTTTTTTTTTTTTTTTTTGCTAAAGGTCACAAAACAGTGTGCCTGAGGACTGCTTTTCTATTGTCTTGCAAGCAGAGGTCGCTTGCCCTACTCTTAAGGCCAGCTCTCCAAGGTGCGCTGTTGTGGCCAGTGAAATGTGTATGTTTTCTTGTTTTGTGTTGGGAGATCTCTCAGCAGATAGATATCATTCTTTCCTGTTATCCTCCACAGGCACTGATGGCCTACTTGGGTTTGTGGGATGTTGGATCTTGCCCAACTTGGGCTCTGAGGCATTGGCCTCAAAGTCCAGTGCCCACTGGTTGTGCTTCCCACTGGGTGACATGAATCAAAGTGAAAGTTGTTCGGAAGGCTTCTCCTCTCTCTGCCCTGCTTGATGTAGGCTCAAGCTGCCCTAGGGTGGTGTTGTGTTTGGTAACCAGTTTCTGACACATTAAATCTATCCACATGCTTTACATGAGGTTGTTTGGAGCATTAGAGATCATGTGCACGTAGTCTTTGAGATGGTATATCATTTCGGTGGGCCACTGGCATGATGGGAACCATGTGTCAGGCTTCCTGGATGATAAAATTTTCCTGTGAGGTACAAACAAGAAGCATGCTTGTTGTGAATAAAGTAAGGCCCTGAAAAGTGATTTTCAGTCTCTTCCCATAGCTGGCAGCCATGTGGTAGCTGCTTGTCTTTTCCAGAGTCCCTTTCAGATGTGCTGGTGACAAGCCAATGGAAGCATGTTGTGTACACTTTGTGGAGCCTTGGACCCACTTCTGTTCTCCGACCAGCCCCTGTAGCCAATGTATCTGCATTTGTGGCCTGGATGACCCCTTCTGGTGGCCATAGTCTGCCTTCCACATTAGGTTTGCTCTTCTAGGAAGAAGAAATGGAGTACAAGGCTAACCCACATTGGACACCCCACCATATTTCCAGCCTTCAGAGGTTTCATATGTGTGAGCTTGCTTTCCTTCAGCTGAAATGGCCCTTAAAGGAGAGACAGTGGGTTTCCTACTGTCTCCAGGTGGCCGGAGATGACATGTTAGAGGTGGAGGGCCATGGGTGTGCTGCTTTAGTAAAAGAAGAGCCTGGGCTGGGCTGTAGGCTCCAGTATGTGCCTTAGCCAGAGGCAGAAAGTACACACACAGTGAACCCCATACCACGTCTGTCCTGGGTACACACAGAAGGAAAGGTACTCTTACGTGAGGGAAGCTTCTCAAGTATCACAGGAAGGACAAGTAAATGAACTTGGCATAGAACAAAGGCCAGGGCAGTACGGGATTGATGCAGTGGTTGCCATTTTCTCCCTCACATGTGGTGTTTTTGTTTCTACTATTCAAGTATAGTTCCTGGGGCCAGCTGGGTGGCCAAAGCTGTATGTGCCTCGGTCCTCAGTTTTGCCACTGCCAGGTAATTGCTGCAAACCTTATCTCCTGCCGATGAGCCCTGCGCATGTTAATCGTTGAGGATGGTAAGCATTTGTTCTGGCAAGAAGACAATGTTGTCTTGATGACCTTGTAACTTTGCCAGGATCTGGGTCTTCATGGGCCAAGCAGGCCTACTGGAGTTCATTCCTCAGCTAGAGTATGTTTTCCTGTCCCTCAGTGGTGGTGCCATGGTCTCCTAGTTTGACTAGAAAACACACTTGTGGCATCTTTGAGTATGCGTGGATTGATGATAACACACGAATTACATTCCTTACAGCTAAACAAAATGACTAAAAACTCATAAACCATCATTCTTATCATGACTGATGTCCAACACAATGCCACACACATGGTCTGCAGGATTAGGGATCCACTTTGAGATGCTCATATTTCTTTTGCCATTCAGGGTTCACACTGGTCCGTTCCTTGTCCCCATAGGCCTTAGGTATAGGTCAGTCTGGGTGGGCTGGGAGTGGTGAATTTTAGGATGAAGCAGTCTGTGGCAAATGCACAGAAAATCAAGCGCAAACACACTTATCCTATGCGCCATATAGAAGGAAGTGCTCATATACTTGGAAAAATCCTGAGATATTCCACAAAGAACAAGCAGATGACAGAATGAGCACACAGGCCAAGATGGCATGGCATTAGGGAAGACATGCTTCCTATCGCACATGTGGGCAGAATCACTGGGGCTCCACTGTCAGAGCACCTCATTGGGATCAGAAGATGAGGAGTAATACAAATTAAACTAGCAGAGCTCAAGAAAAGGAGACCCTTTCTTTCTAAGGGAAAAAAGACAAAGATAGATAGCTATCCTACCCAGGAACAGAGGAGGGGTAACAAGAGAGATGGAAAATTCAGGGATCCCACATTGCATGCATTATTTTGGGAGTAAATACCATTCTGAATAACTCTCTGCCCTCTTGTCTGCAGGAACGCAGTAGGTAAGCTGTCTCTCCCCCACTGGGCCTTTGGGGTGATAGCCCCTGAGGAGAGGCTGTGATCCTGTGCATCCGTCCATGGCAGTGGGTGGCCTGTGTTTTGCAGCAGATGGAGCCTGTGTTTGTGTACTTGGACCAGCCTCCTTGGCAGACAAGTCAAGTCCCTGTGACCTGCAGTTCCCCAGCTGGTGCTCTTTTCAGCCTTGCCTGTTAGGCACTGTTTCCCTGGAAGGTGAGCCAGGATGAAGTGTCTCCTCCCCGCAACTGTCCGGGTCTGGCAGAGATGGCAGCAGTGTTTTGTCATGCTGTGGGCTTGGAGGTGGTGTGTTGTAGGCACAGGGCCCATTGTCAGTGGTTCCACAGAGGCATGGAATGGGCCTGGGTGGTGACCTATGGTGTGTGCCAGGGAGGACTGGAGTGAATCACTTCCCTGCATCTTGGCCAGTGGAGGAGACTCAAAGTGCAGGGATGTCTCACCCATGTGTGTCCTGTGCATGCGTGGAGCAAAAGGAGCTCCACACATGCACAGCCTCTGAGGTATCCAAGAAGGGCAAGCAGAAGATAGGGTAGCAACGCAGGTCAGGGTAGTGTGGGAATCTGTCAAAGGGACCTTTCTTTCCCTGACACATGGATTGTTTTCATTTCACCACTCAGGGTGAGTTGCCAGTGCCAGCCCACCATCAGCTGCCTGTGCCTGGATTCGCATCAGTGGTGGCACCAGGCAGTTGCTGCCAGCCTTGTGTCCTAAGAGTGAGCTGCCTACCTGTGGACAGATGAGGGTAAGCATTTCTTTGCGCAAGGAGTAGACGTGGTCCCAAGGACTGTGGAGTATCACCACAGCCTCTGTCTCCATGGGCCCATCATGGCCTATGTGGTCTCCTGCTTGGCATGGACCATGTGTTCCTGGGACCTGGGGTTGAGGCCATGGTCCTCCAGGGCCTTCGGGCTCTTCCGGATTGAGCAGCGCACCTGGCTGTGGCGTCCTTGAGGGTGCACACATCAATGATGAGACTCCAGTTAATTTCTTAGGAGCTGAACATAATGAGTGAAAACTCTGAAATGGTCATGCTCAGCTTTCCTGAGTTTTGTACCTTGGTATACTCCTTGTTTTTAAAAGGAGTGGTGTTATTCTATCTATTCTCATTTCTGTTCCTTTCTGAGATTTTCATCATTATTCAGCACATATCCCAGGGCCATTTGAACATGTCCTCCATAGGGTCAACAAGTGTAAGCAAGTTTTGTGTTTCAGTGATGTCTGAACTTATTTTTCTGGTATATGGTGTGATTTTTGCAGCAGAAAGCTGCTGAAGACTCAGTGAATTTCCCCCAAACTCCCTTTGTGTCATTAGCAGTGCATGTACTCATAGTGGTTGGAAGCCTCACCTTGGTCAGGAGCAAATCCTCATTTTCCTGGTTAAGGATGCTATCTGCCCTTCAGTACAAGGATGTCCTGTCTGAGTTAGCTCTGTTGATGGTCCATGTTGATGGAGGCTGTGGAATAGGACGCTATTCTCCTCTACCAGTCTCTAGGAATGAAAACTCTGTCCTTCTGGGCTGAGAATTGCCTGCTGACACATACATAGCCCAAATGTTTTGTTTGCAGGAAACCTTGGCCTTGGGCCCTGTGCCCAGGAAATTCCAGAGCAGGTGTCATGGAGAGACTATGTGGAGCTCTTGTCATCTCGGGCTAGTTCTTCTCCCATCCTCCAGATGCTGCCTCATCGAGGTACCCTTCATTTTTCTCTCCATGGAAGTCTATATTTGGCCTTTTGGCTTTCCCTGGGAAGTGTCTGCTTTGGTTTCAGGGTAGATATGGCCTAGGCCTCCCCTTGGTGATGACTCTTTTCTGTTAAAAGTCACAGTGCATTGTGTTCCAACCTTGTCTTCCCAGTACCTTGCAAGTAAAGGTTCTTGGCATGCCCTTCAGGGCCAGCCATCCAAGCTGCATGGTTGTAGTGGAAATATGGCTCTGTTCTTGTGTGCTCTTTCTAATCTCTCTGTGGGCAGGTGTCCATCTCTTCTGTCTTTGTGCTGTAGCACTATTGGCCAACATGCACCTTCCTGATGTTGGCTTATATTTGAGTCAGGCTGTGCTCTACCCACTGACCCTGAAATTCCTTCTCCACAGGTTGGGCTCCCCATTGGGCTTCCCATTTGTCTAACACTGAGTGATGCTGACAAAAGTGAGAGATGTTGGAAGAGCTCTGTCTCTCTTTGGTTTTCCAGCTCTCCTGCTAGGTTGAGGGTGTGAGGCATCATAGGATGTGTGGAGGCTTTGGATTCCCCACACTGAGCATGGTCTGTCTGGCTGCACTCCTCAGAGAAGGTGGGTTTGAGATGTAGGTGTCATGTGCACGTAGTCTCTGTGACATGCTTCATGTGTCCATTGCAAGTACAAGAATACCCAATATGTCAGGCTCTGTGGTTAGTGCAATTCTCCTTGGAGCTCCAGCGGACAAACTGCATGGTGCCAGTGAGGTAAGGACCTGGAATTCAATTTCCGTCTCCCCATGTGGACAACTGGACTGAGAGACCTGGGCATTCTTAGTATCACTGGCCTCCACTGAGGAAATACTGATGAGGTGCTAGGGTGCCCTTCTTCAGGGAGATGGGGTTGTGTCTATTTATGGTGGGTCAGGTCCATACTATGGCCTACAGAGCAGCATCCCAGGCACAGATGTCTCTATTCAAGGCTTTGGACTCTGCAGCTTGTGGCAATTGTTTGTTTTCCATGTTAGGTTTTTCTTTTGGAAGAAACAAGGTTCCATTCTCACCCATGAACACTCTACCTAGTGAAACCCCTTCCCACTCCACAGGTGGTGCATGTCCATTCACCATGAGGTCCCTTGCCGCCTTCTGTCATGTCCTTGTATGAGGAATGTGCAACCCTGAAGGATGTGTAGAAGACATTGGAGTTGTCCTGCTGTTGATCGAGACCCCTTGCTGTGCTGCTGTGGTGTGGCATGGGGAAGATCCGGGTCTAGAACATGGGGTACAGTGAGGACCTGATAACATGCCTAGTGAATCCCTCACTGCGCTCTTAGACAGGGTAGGCAAATCCACATGCCGTCAAGTACAAGCACATTCATCTCATGGCCCATGGAAAGAAACAGAAGTATCCACATGGGACGGTCTTGAGGTAAATTAGAAAGAGCAAGGGGAGGAGAGAGTGAGGCCTGGCTGGGAGAGCATAGGCTCCACGAAATGGATTACTTTCCCCATCCTCACATGTGGTTTTTTCTGTCTCTTCTACTCAGGGGAAGTTGCCTGGCAGGCCTATCTTCGCCTGGGCATATGTGGTTCCCGATGACCAGAAGTGTCATGGAATCCTGCAAGCCTCATGTCCTCCCAGTGATCTCCAGCCTGGTGTCTGATTGAGGGTGGTAAGCATTGCCCTTGGAAGCCTCTAGATGTCTTTGTGTGGACTGTGTGGAGACCCAACACCTCTGTCCCTGTAGCCTGAAGTGGACCATGAAGTTTTAGCCCTTGTGTGGACTGTGTTCATGGAGAACAGCTGTGAGACCCTGGGTCTTTCATGGCCTTCAAGGTCCTCTAGTTGGAGCTGTTCTCTGTTCCCCTGGACTGGCGGGTACCTGAGGCAGTGCTGCATATGCTTGGATGGATGATGACACCATAATAACATTCCATGGAAAAGCTGAACAAAATAAGTGGCATCTCTAAACCGTCGTTCTCATTGTAACTGAGATCTTACATGTTGCCTCACACAGAGACTGCAAGAAAGGGGTCTGCAGAAAAGGGGTCCATGTCTGTGTGCTCACAGTCCTGGGTCT